CCCTCGTCGAGGGCTTTGAGTGTAACCGACAGTTTTCCCTAAAGGCCAAGCCATTGATCTAGGAGCATGCAAAAAATTAGCCAGATATACTTAGCTTAAGTACCCTAAAGTCTGCGTTGAAATGACCCTCTGTTTTTCCCATAAAATACAAAGATTATATAGGGAAATACAACTGGTCAGTTTTGACCGCTTTACGAAGTTTTCCCAGATATGCCGAGTTTTTTGTGACACCCCTAGGTGTTCTTCTACCACCTCACAAAATATCAAGGGGGGTCGTCGGAGGAAAAATTTTTTCGTAATATAGCTCATATAAAGAGAATTTCACTCGCGGTCACTTTTTAGCCCTCGTCGAGGGCTTTGAGTGTAACCGACAGTTTTCCCTAAAGGTCAAGCCATTGATCTAGGAGCATGCAAAAAATTAGCCAGATATACTTAGCTTAAGTACCCTAAAGTCTGCGTTGAAATGACCCTCTGTTTTTCCCATAAAATACAAAGATTATATAGGGAAATACAACTGGTCAGTTTTGACCGCTTTACGAAGTTTTCCCAGATATGCCGAGTTTTTTGTGACACCCCTAGGCGTTCTCCTACCACCTCACAAAATTTCAAGGGGGGTCGTCGGAGGAAATTTTTTTTCGTAATATAGCTCATATAAAGAGAATTTCACTCGCGGTCACTTTTTAGCCCTCGTCGAGGGCGTTGAGTGAAACCGACATGTCTGCCGTACGGCAAAGCCATTTACCTATAAACATGCCGAAAATTAGCGAGATGTAAAGAGGGTAAGTGCCCTAAAATCCGTTTTGAAATGACCCTCTGTTTTTCCCATAAAATACAAAGATTATATAGGAAAATACGACTGGTCAGTTTTGACCCACTTCCCGATTTTTCCGAGATATGCCGAGTTTTTTGTGACACTCCTTGGCGTTCTCCTACCACCTCACAAAATTTCAAGGGGGGTCGTCGGAGGAATTTTTTTTTCTTAATATAGCCCATATAAGGCGCCGGTCAGTCGAGGTCAGTTTTGACCCCCTCTCCGTAGACTTTTCGGCCAACCGTCACCGGCCCTCGTGTTCTATCGCCCCAAGGCACCATCGTGCCAAATTTGACGCGCCTGCGGCGCCGGGAAGTGCCCTATCGGGCACCCGACCACTTTGCTTTATATATATAGATATATAGGCATATATATAGGCATATACATATATATATATATATATATATATATATATATATATATATATATATATATATATATATATATATATATATATATATATATGTATATATATATATATATATATATATATATATATATATATATATATATATATATATATATATATATATATATCTTTTTCAGTGTTGGGGAGGGGGAGGTATTCCACGGCAACGACTCTAAGAGAGACTAAACCCGCAGAAATTCCTGAAAGAAATACTGCACATATTATAGGCTACCGTATATCCACAATTTGAACAAGATGGTCTAGAAATCGATCGCTATCTTTATGTGTCGAAATAAAGCTACGGAATTAGAGATTAATTTGTCCTTTAAAGCTCTACAACGAGGCCAAGCCAAAATTTGCGTTGTTACTTTGTTGGAACAATACGATGGACAAACCCTTCATCAAAGCCACACCTACCAAAATAGTCTCATCTTTAGAATTGTCGGCAGCGATGAACAATCCTTGAGCCGACTTGTATAGCCAGAATACAAAGAAATGTCTGATTACAACCATCGGCCATGGCTGAACACTAGTCACCGTAGCCAGAGTTTCTTCCTAGCATCACTCCGGGGCGGGGTTTCCAATGTTACCGGTGTGTGACCCTCACCCCATCCTTACACCCCACTCCTGGAAAATCTAGTGCATCCCGCGGAAGTTTCAAATCACCCCCCCTTCCCCTACCCCATCCCCACACGGAGGAAATATATCTGAAAGAAACCCAGATTGTAGCACAATTTTTAACTCTAAAGTCTGGCGCGCTATGTTGCTGATGTTTAATTAATTAAGGCGTAAGTCGAAAAACGTCTAGACCATACACAATGGAATAATCTACTTCTATCCTTATGAGTTGTCCCATTTCTTGCTTCTAAGATGAAAGCTTTGTATATTCAGGTGTTTTCTGTAACAAAACAGCGCTCTGAATTAAAAATTATTTTCAGCCATAAGATCAATATATTTTGAATCAAAACAGTAAACGGATTCTAATGAAACTTCTCATTTTAGACTCAGAATCTGTATCAAATATTATCTTATATAGACCTACAGACCAAATCACCCTGTATTATAGAAGGCTATTTCACGGCTTTAATTTTCTAAATATTTATTTTTTGAGTCTTGTCGACAAGAAATTGAAAAGTAAAATATATTCGTTGCTTGATGGCTGGTACCTAGTGTGAAATAGATAAGTAGTTGTTGTAGCTTTTATTACCGTCAGTCTAAGGGTGATGATGAGGAAGAAGAATATTCCGGCTGTTTAAAAAAAAGTATACATATTTTCTTCCAAGCAACTCTACCCCTCCCCCCCCCGAACGAAATGGAATTTATATAGGAAACATATGTCCGCACCCCCCCCCCCGAAAATATCAAGTGCCCCCCCCCCCCCCCCCCCCCCCCCCCACCGGAGAAAAAAGTCTGTAAGAAACTGGCTAGACTTTCTGGCGGGATTAAGACACCATCTAGAGATTTTTTTCAGCCGTCAAGTAAGAGCTCTATCGCTTGGCCAAGATCTCTTTGATAAATCGTATGTAAAGTAATGTCCTCTTTAAATGCCTTTTTTTTAAAGAAAAAAACGACATAACAAAGTTAAAATCATTGCAATCAATAAATCTAATAAAACTCAGCTTATTAGCATGTATAGGATAAACAATTATATTGTAGTTTGTGTTCCAAGCAACAGGATATAATAATTGAATTAAACTCAATAGCAGTGTTTCTTCCAGATTTTTTTCTCCGGGGGGGGGGGGGGGCACTTGAAATTTTCGGGGGGGGGGGGCGGGGGGGGGGGGGCGGACACTGTTAAAAGTATATATTTTCTATATAAATTATATAAATTTCATTTTACTCGAGGGGGGGGGGTAAAAAAAAATTTAAGAGATGACTGGAAGAAACTCTGCTCAATAGTAGTATTCTTATTTACAAGTAAAATCCCCATTCCGTTATAGTCACTTAAAAATAAAGCCGAAAAGAATTCATTGGTAACCTGTGTTCAAATAGTATGTTTATCCCATTCACTGGGTCTAAGTCTAGTAATTTAAAAAGTTCTTACGTTTAATATACAATTTTGATTTGTAAAACAACCTTAAGTAGTAATTCAATCAAAAGCATCGTAGTCTGATATAAATATTATACATTGTCGAATATATAATTGAAAGGTTTTTTGTGGTTTGGGGCTAGCTAAATTTTTATACTTTGAACAGGGAGGGGCTAGCTATCCATGTCCCTGTTATCTGCCTATTTCTGTACAAACATATATTTTAAAATATTGAGAACAGAACAAAATTTTTAAAATATGAGAGTAAAAGCTTTTTTAACTTTTAAAATGCCTAAATCCACACCCCCCCCCCCCTCCAAAAAAAATTCAAAATTCTTTTATCCCTAAACTACTCCAAAGTCGTTATCTGGCTTGGATTTGATCCTTAAACAGATGGAAACTAAAACATTTAGAAAACTCGTGTAAGAGTAAACACAACAACCAGAACAATTATCCAGTGAATATTTATTATTACACTACTTACAACATTTATATAAACCATCACTCAAGCAAACATATACAAAAAATATTAATCTTAATTTAAATGAAAGATTACAAACAAATAATTATTGAATTAAACTGGTATTTTTGAGCTTATTCAATAGAGTAGCAACTAAGACAACAAGTGACATTGAGAGGTCTTATAGGTTGTCTTATGTGTAGCGAATATATGTGGTGTGGTTAATATGTTGGATGTAGCTTTTTATGAGGCTATGTGGGATCATTTAATGTGTGTCAAAGTGGACGGCTTTATATGAGGGAAGGGGGGGGGGAGGCATTTAAAGTGAGGGAATGGGGTTCATTTAAAGTGAGGTAGATATTACACCCTGTTGATGTCTGCTTGGCTAAAAGAGCGTTGCTTAAACCAGATGACACCTATCAGAGCTACAAACATGTAGGCTAATTTTTAAAAAAATATAGACGTTTTAGAACTTAAGCATCATAAGCAGATCAAAGTGTATGACTAAAATCAATTTTACAAATGCCGTTGCCTCTTTTAATGTTTAGCATATGCTTTTTTTTAAAAACATCATACATTGTAATAGGAGTTGTAGTATTTTTTTTCTAAACAAGTTGAAATAGTTATTCACCAATGTTTATAAGCAGCAATTAATTATATGCATAGATAGTTACAACAAAATGTTTACAAATACCAAATGTATGTGATTACAAGTTGATACACAAGATACAAAAGCTTAATTTTGGTTAAGATTTTAATGATTCAATAAGAAGCTGAAATAACTAATATGAAAAATAAACTGTTTTCATTTGAATTTGAATTTGAAATTTACAAATTATAAATCTGGCTGAAAATGACTTTTTCTTTAGTATTTACCATAAGCTGAAACACGTTGTATGATTGAAACAAAATATTTTCAAATACAAAATGCACATGATTACATTTTAATTTTAAAAAGTTATCAATATTACATATTGATAACGGTTTTAATGTTGCTTTGCAAAAAAGAAATAATAGTAATTAAAATGAATTTAGGAAAATCAAAATATTATTGTTAAAACCATCCATATTTAATTTATCTTGCATTTTTTTTAAGAGTAAATCAAAAGATTAATGTTTGCTTTTGTATATTTTTAGGTGATAAAGAGAAATAAAATCGAGTTTAATAAATATGTATCCGAAAAGACTTTTGATAAAAAGTAGTACATAAAAATGAAGAAAATGCCTTCAATTATTTTTTTTTGTAGTTTTACTTTAAATTCTTTTCACGTTAATGAATAAATGTTAGTTTTTATTGTACGTTAACAGATGTTAGTTTTTTTCCTGTGAAAACCGAAGTAAGAACTTGTCTGAAATTGTACCCGAATACACAGTACATGAAGAACGAAACAGCACAGTGAATGTAGGAAAAATGCTCGAAGATTACGTGAAGCACCAAGTCAAATTCTTCAAACGCGATGGTGGATTTGAAACGGATGACGAAACGTGGAGTATGGAAGACCAGTATGATCAGAGTTAACATAAAGAGAAATCTGAAGGCTTTTGATGCCCATGCAGCAGCTGTGTCAGGGGGAGTAACTCTAAAACTGTAGGCCCTTGTGGTAACTCTGGTCTTGGGGGTGCGGAAAGCGATGTTGGCGATGATAATGTTGGTGATGACGAGAGCGATGACTGGTATTATGAATGAAATACATGTATCGATGATTATCATATTTTTATAATCAGCAGTAATCTCAAAATGGGTGCAGATATTGGTTTCAAATTTGCTGGTGTAGTTTACATTAGGGGAAGAACCGAAAACACCATAAGTATTAGTAATCATTGTTGGATTTGGTTCATCTTGAAATTTTGGCATCATTGAATCAGAATTTTCGAGAATGTTTGAATTAGTTCCAGCTTTTATAGTTGTCGAGTTGAAATCCACGTTGTAAAAATCTCCAATTTGTTCGCTCCAAAACGAGATTTGGTAGACAAGGATTCCAACCAAATATAATAACCCAGAGATGACCAGAGCGGAAGTGGCCTTGCAGTACATCTTCACAAAACTGGGCCAAACGACGCAGAATAGGTTCTCAACACAGATCACAACAACGATCCAGGTCGAGGCAAAACACGTGACGTTTGAGATAAACGTCACAGTGCGGCAAAAATTAGCGGTATCGAAGATTTTGTAGTCGATTCTGTGGAGCCAGATTAGGAATACGCACAGCAAATACAGTATGTCCGATACTGACTTGCATGCTAGGTAGATACAGCAGGAAGATTGTCGCATCGTCATGTGCAGCAACACGATCAGCGATACGATATTTAATACGATACCGATACCGACGATGACAGGTGTAATTATTTTCAGTGCTTCCACGACCCTGAGATAAAGGGAAAATGTGTTGAGGGAAGAGAATGGTACTGGAACAAATTCACCAACTGATCCTTCCATTGTGTAGTTAAAGGATATTAAAGTCTGACTTTATCAAATACTGTCAAAAGCAATATGTAAAGAAAACAGCTATAATATAAAGTTTATTTTATTCTCCATTGAACTACTCCTTGAGCGGTCTATACGAAGATTGCGGAAAAACGATTCAGAAATTAATTACCTGTTGCTTAATTTCGCTGAAGTACTTGTTTCAGTTATTTTGACATTTGGATACGTTCGACGAACCAGACAAATCCCTACTTGAGAAAGACTCAATAAACAAATAAATACAACTTTAAACTGCCCTAAAAAAATTTAAATGACGCTTGTAAAAGAATGAATATAATAGTTGACAGTTTTCACTCCAGAATACAAAATTCAACGATAATAAAAAGTAAACTGCATAGAAGTTTTTCTTTCAATTAACTTGTTATTGAAAGAAATCATGTGTAGGAGTGGTTATCCAAATCCAATAATGATCGAAATTTGACTATTTTATCATTTTATAACGTATCACTATATGGCCTTCCGATAGCCCGCGCAGTTTTGTAATTCAAAGACCATCCAATGGTCAGCTGTCTGGACAGTTCTGTACCTCCACACCTACCATTGGTCACCTGGTTAAACACGTGTCTCTGTAGTTCCACACCTACCATTGGTCACCTGGTTAAACACGTATTTCTGTAGTTCCACACCTATCGTTGGTCCACTGTCATGTTTCTTTATTTCCTAACAATTGGTCTGTAAGTCAAAGCAAGGACCTCCCAGTTTTCTAAACCTACACGAAGAGTTGTTGTTAAGATTATTATAAGCTTCCAACATGGGGAGTGGTTTTTACTAATCAAAGAGACTCCTAACAGTAATTTCTATTGTCAGTGACATTTATTGACAAGCATGCCACTGTACCTAACCAAATCAGCTGAGGTTATACATCTCCGTCATAGGTTCTTTAAAGTCATGGAGTAGACTTTGTATTCTTAAATTTGCTAAACTGTAGCAAAATAAAATGTCGAAGCATTGAATAATAAAACATGAGCAGTCGTTGATGCCATAATCTTTGACAAAATCTTTTGGCTACCTTACCATCCCCACCCCGCCTTCTTCAAAATGCGATTTAAAACATTTATTCCCAAGTCTTTAATATAAGGATATTAAACAGCTACCTTGAAGACAACAAGCTTTAAAACTTACACTTTTCGACCAATTTGCTTTTCTAATTATAATACTAAATCTGTTTAACAAGTATACCTAGGAGCCTAGAGCAGTACACGTTTACAAAACTGCCTTGGTAGACAACAATTTCTGCCAAACTCACAATTTTTACGTTATGGTAAACTGTTACCCCACAGACATTTGAACAAATCGAAATACAGTGCAGCTGTGTATAATTTATTTTAACAGCTACATGTTAACATATCAGAGTTTATTCTATGCTTAAAAATTTTTTTTTACCATCACGCAGGTAACCGATAAATAATTGAATATCGATTTTAAAAACTTTCCCGTGCGTAGGTCTAGACATGCGCTCACGTTATCAAACCGGCGTTAGAGTTTTACTCACTGACATTCACGTAAGCGTTAGAATCGATTTACTATTCTCCACGCTGAGAGATAATGACGCCTACCAAGGCTGTATAGGATGTTTATCTTCTACAAATGAGGTCGTAAAATCCAGATTTACTACGCTTTAAATAATTATTCTCCTAGCTCTAATGACGCAACTCTAACCATATCTAAACTTATAACGTCATATTTTACAAAAACCATGACCAAATGTTGACACTTTTATTGCAAAGAAGTGAATGTTTTAAAACTGAAACAAAATTGACATTTGAATTGAATTTAACACCATAGACTATATAAAGAAATGATTTTTCCTGTTGTGTTATACGAAGCTGAACGTTCTCTGTAACACCAGGAAACCTTCCAGCAAGTGTACACTAGATCTTCAACATGAATACACTGTTGATCCTTTTCAGTCTCTGTTTCATCTCTCTAACGCAAGCCCAAGTAAGTTTTTTTTCCTAATGTATAAATATAATTCTCTCTTACTTATCTATTGAGAACACACCATCCTTTTAGAATTTTACAAAAGATGTTAATGTAAAAATCAACAAATTATTGCTATGTTTGCAAACACAGTTTACCCATTTCAGATTTATACTGAAACCTGCAAGACAAAGTTTGTTACACTGCAATATTATATTGGAATATATATATATATATATATATATATATATATATATATATATATATATATATATATATATATATATATATATATATATATATATATATATATATATATATATATATATATATGTATATATATATATATATATATATATATATATATATATATATATATATATATATATAAATTAGGATATAACAACTGACAATCCGATTTTATGTTCGTTTATTTACCTGTTCTACTGCAATTAAATTACATTTTGAAGTATTCCTAAGTAGTATATTAGGTCCCTTTTGATTAGTATCCGCAGGCGCAGGCGCACCCAGGATGCGCAAAGGATATATAGGAAAATACTCGGATGCGCAGGGGGATGCGCAGGCGCTGCAGGAACAACGAGATATAGTAAAATACTCGGGATGGGGATGCGCCGCAGGAACAACGAGATATAGTAAAATACTCCAGGCGCAGGCGCAGGCGCAGGGTGAAGGAGCCGCAGGCGCAAAGACATATAGTAAAATACTCCGGATGGGGATGCGGATGGGGATGGGGATGGGGATGGGGAGGATGCGCAGGGATGCGGATGGGGAGTAGGTCAGTAGGTCAGTAGGTCACCGGTGGTGACCTTGTGACGTAATCAGTGACCTAGTTACGTAATTTTAATGAGTTTTTAATTAGTTTTAATGAGTTTTTTAAATTTTAATTAATTTTTGACCTAGTTACGTAATTTTAATGTGTTTTTTAATTAGTTTTAATGAGTTTTTAAAATTTTAATTAATTTTTATTAACGAGTTACGTAATTTGATTATTTGTTTACTTTTTTAATTGTTTAATTTGTTGTTTACTTGTTGTTTAATTTAATTACTTTGTTTATATTGTGTAATTTTTTATTAATGAGTTACGTAATTTGATTATTTGTTTACTTTTTAATTATTTTTATTGACGAGTTACGTAATTGGATTTTATTTATTTATTTTTTATTTTGTTTATTTTTAATTTTATTTTATAATTAGTTTGAATTCAATTTAATTACTTTGTTTATATTGTGTAATTTTTTATTGACTAGTTACGTAATTTGATTGTTTGTTTGTATTTTGTTTGTTTATTTTGTTTGTTTACTTGTTATTTAATTTGATTACTTTGTTTATATTGTGTAATTTTTATTAACGAGTTACGTAATTTTAATTTTTAAATGATTATTTTTTTAATTTTTAACTTTTTAAAATTGATTTTAATTACTTTGAATGTTGTTTATTTGTTTATTTGTTGGTTTGTTTATTTGATTGTATGTATGTTTTATAGTAAACGGAGAGTAATGACGGGGGTTGAGGGGAGGGGTGTGCTACCATGTACTAGAACAGTCTTTGTATAGGGACCATTTTCCAACACAACGAACGTTACAAAAATAGAACATCCATTAAAGATAACGATCAGCCACAGCTGTTACGTATCGACCCGCCCGCGAAGTTTCCTCACCGCTGCCCGTTTTAATGGGAATGTATTGATCGCAGCCGCTGGCCCATCACACCTAATTAAATTTTTGTTAGGCTTCACCGAGTTTCCCCCGAGCGGTTGACAGGTTATGGTAATTTACGACGTACATTAAGTGCCTCTCCGTGAAGTACGTAGGTCATTATGCAACAACTGTTGTGCGACAGCTGGTGCTGTAATTAGGCGGATCAACCGGACATTACCTATTTTGTTTATTTTTAATTTTATTTTATTTTATAATTAGTTAAATTATTATTAACTAGTTACGTAATTTGATTTTAATTTTTTTTTAAATTTTTAAAATTTTTTTTTTTTTTTTTTTTTAAATTATTATTTTTAAATTTTATTTTTAATTGTTGTTTACTTGTTGTTTAATTTAATTACTTTGTATAATTTATTTGTTTGAAATTCATTTTAATTAGTTTGCTGTTAATTATTGGCGACAGATGTTACCAAGCGGGTGGTGGTGGTGGTGGTGGTGGTGGTGGTGGTGGTAAATTTGCTTAAGATTATAAACTTCAAGTTTTAAAAATCAACAACGTTATGGACCATTCAGCAACACAACGAACGGTTACCGAAAATAGAACATCCATTTAACCACATCTGTTACTTATCGATCCGTGATCCTTTGTTGACACGCGCTGCGCTTTTAATGGGAATGTATTGATCGCACCTACTGACCATCAGTATGATGGTCCATCTATGTGTAATTTTTTATTAACGAGTTACGTAATTTGATTTTAATTTTTTAAATTTTTAAATTTTTTTTTAATTTAATTTTATAATTAGTTTAATTATTATTAACGAGTTACGTAATTTGATTTTAATTTTTTAACTTTTTAAATTTTTTAAATTATTATTTTTAAATTTTATTTTTAATTGTTGTTTACTTGTTGTTTAATTTAATTACTTTGTATAATTTATTTGTTTGAAATTCATTTTAATTAGTTTGCTTTTAATTTCTTTGTTGTACGCCGTTTGAAATAAAAGACTAACACTAGCGTGTACTAGAAAGTGTCATTGTGTATAACATCCATTTAACCACAGCTGTTACTTATTAGCGACAGCTTGTACTTATCGATCCGCCCGTAATCCTCCCAGGCGCTCCCCGTGGTTGCTTAATAGCGGGCTCACTGAAGCGATCACAACAGGTAATTAATCGAAGCCATTAAGTCCCTCTCCGCGTTAAGTGTGGCGACAGCTGGTGCTGTAATTAGTCACGGCTCTCGGCTTTTTTCATTAGACTACAGCTGTACATGAACTATGTTCACATATCGTACGCCCGGTCATTCTTTGATCAAATTAAAAAATTTTGTTTCCACATGTCATGCGTACCGTC